TCGCTGCGTTTTCCCGTCCCGGCTCCCGTTCCCCTTTCTTTTTCCTCTATATACGGGATGGTCGGACACGTCGTGTGTGCTCCGGCCGTTTCCGTTTGTCGCTCGGACCGTGACGCCCGCCCGCTCGCTCGCCTCCGCTCCGGTTTTTCTCGTCGGCGCGATAAAGCGGCCGAGTGTGTCGTTCCATTTTTTTCTCCCCCCTTTTTTTTGGGGTAACGGAAATGACGTAGCGCGAGCGTGACCGTGATCGGGTTGAACTCTTGCTCGTTTGCTTCTTAATCGGCGGTGAGTCCCGGTTCGGGTTTCCGTCGGGTCGACCTCGAAAATTATGGAAATCTTGGAGAGGAATAAGGATTTCGGAGTATGGAGCAAAACCTGGGCAACTAAAATTTCGAGGCTTCATTCGCGAGTTGCACAGTTGTCGCTTGAATAACTGTAATTTTCCTTTGCTTAGAACAATTCTGTGGACTCCCATGAACGGAGGCTCACTTGCAATTATAGAATCAAGTATAAAAACTTCCTTCTTCGTCTGCCACTTCGTATCCTGCCTTAGATATTAATCGAATCTCCCGAAAAGAAACTGAAAGCCACGGAGGAAGCGGATTCGATAGATACTTAGAACCAGCCAAGAAGCTTCTAATTTACGTTGATTCTCCTCCTAGATGTGGACACTCCAGAGCCGGACGAGAAGTCCTTGATAACGTACATTTCTTCGCTCTACGACGTGTTCCCGGAGCCGCCAGCGATCCATCCTCTGTACGACGCCGACGCTCAAAGGCGATCCGCCGAGTACCGTGAGCTGACCAGCTCCCTCCACCAATGGATCCGCGAGAAGATGAGCCTGATGCAGGAACGGGCGTTCCCGCCGACCCTGATCGAGATGAAGAAACTCGCCGCCGACAGCGCGAAGTTCAAGAACGAGGAGGTGCCGCCTCGTTATCGGGACAAACAGAGGCTGTCCCACATATTCAGGGATTTGCAGAAGTACTTCGAGGCTGTCGGCGAAGTGGACATGGAGCCCGAGTTGCACATCGACGTTATAGAGAAGAACTGGAACCGTTTGATGATGCTGCATCAGGAAAGAGAGCAGGCGATCATAGACGAAATTAAACGGTCAGAGGGATTCTCTTTAAGTAGCGATTAAGTTGTGATTTCTCTGTGGAATTTAGTAGTTCTAGTTGTCGTTGCTATTGGGTACTGGTGGGATTTACTGTTTATTTTCTTGGCTGCAGACTCGAACGACTGCAACGACTAGCCGAGAAAGTTCACAGGGAGATGAAGACGACCGACAACCGTTTGGAGGAGCTTGAGAGACGCGTGGAGGACGAAGCGAGACGGCTCGATCGGCTTCATCCCCTTGAGGCGAAACACGCCGGGGACCTTCTCGAGCAGGACATACGAAACACTGAGATACAGATTCAGAATATCTTCACGGACGTGCACACCCTTACAGAAGGGCGATACAGTCAAGCGGCCGAGCTTCATAAAAGGTACGACATAGCCAATGTGCAAAGTTATAATGAAGATGGTCCACGTTTGATGTAGAACTAGCTAGAGACTTGTTATAGTTGTATATTGATGTTAACCTTTTTCTTCTCCATTCCAGAGTTCAGAAGCTGCACCAACGATGGGTCGCGCTGCGATCCCTTCTCCACAAACGCTTGGTGCAGCCACTGGCGGCCGTGTCTTTCCCGGTAGAGGAGCGTGTGGTCACCAAGCATCGTACGACCGTCCACGAAACACGACTGGTCGACACCAATCCTCATTTCCGCGCGTTGCACGATTGCATCGACTGGTGCAAGGCTAAGATCAAGCAGCTCCAGGACGCGGATTATGGTTCAGACTTGCCGGGCGTGCAGAATGAGCTGGACGTTCATCAGAGAGAACACAAGAACATTGAACAGTTCCATCCCAAAGTGGACAGATGCGTGCAGGCCAAGAACCACTTCCATGGAGAGGAGTTGACGTTGTATAGCCAGCATTTAGCTGTTCTCCAGAAACTCTACTCGGAATTGTTGTCTGCCTCTAATAAGAGGCTATCAGATTTGGACACGTTGCATGATTTCATTCAGTCAGCTACTGGCGAGCTAGTCTGGTTGAGCTCCAAAGAGGAGATAGAGGTAACCAGGGACTGGAGTGACAAGAGCAGAACTTTGCAATCCATCGAGCAGTATTACGAGGTACTTGACTATTCTGTGTTTAACCTTGTAACTTCTGATGCGTGGTCCTTGAATAAACATTTAAATGTGTTTCCAAAATCCTCCACTTTTACTTTCTACGTACACTGTTCACTAAAGATCAAACTGGTTCACATTCTCATCTTTTTCCAAGCGTACATATGGATCCGGTTTGGAGGTAAACCCGTGCTCTTATAAGACTAATAAGTACGGAACCCACGAAACAGATGAGCAGCATTTAACGTCCTATTAAAAATGATTTTCAGTCCCTGATGAGCGATCTGGAGAAACGAGAGATCCAATTCTCTGCGGTCCAAGACCGCGGCGAGGCTTTGGTTCTTCAGCATCATCCTGCTGCGAAGACCATCGAAGCGTACATGTCTGCAATGCAGAGTCAGTGGGCCTGGCTGCTTCAGTTGACCCTCTGTTTGGAGGTGCATCTGAAGCACGCCGCCCAGAGCCAACAATTCTTCCGGGACATCCAGCAAGCGGAACAGTGGATCTCTAAACGAGACGAAACCTTGAACACCATTTATTCCCAATCCGATTTCTTCCTGGATGAGGGTGAACGTCTGCTGAAAGGTATGCAAGAGCTTCGCGAAGAGTTGAACAGCTACGGTGACCACGTGCAGAAGCTGGTTGAACAGGCGAAGGACGTAGTACCCATGAAGCAGCGCCGGCAGCCCGTGACTCGACCGATGCAGGTCACCTGTGTGTGCAGCTACAAGCAAGTGAACGTAAGTTGAACAATTTAGCAACCTGTCCGTCGATTGTTCTCTGCCGAGTGAAATCAATTGTGATTTAATTGGCTTATTTTTCAGATGTCAATCGAGAAAGGAGAACAATGCACCTTATATGACAACTCCGGACGTATAAAGTGGCGCGTGAAGAACCAGGAGGGCGTGGAATCGCCGGTGCCCGGCGTATGCTTCGCTCTCCAGCCACCGGACAAAGAGGCACTGGACGCAGCGGAGAGATTGCGACGGCAGTACGACAGAAGCGTCGCGCTTTGGCAACGTAAACAGTTGCGATTGAGACAGAACATGATATTCGCGACAATTAAAGTAGTGAAAGGCTGGGATCTGCCGCAGTTCTTGGCCATGGGCCAGGATCAGCGAACAGCCATTAGAAAAGCTTTGAATGAGGACGCTGAGAAATTGCTGTCCGAGGGAGACCCGGCTGATCCTCAACTGAGGCGGCTGAAGAGAGAAATGGCTGACGTGAACAAGCTGTTCGATGAGCTGGAGAAACGAGCTAGAGCGGAGGAGGAGTCAAAGAACGCGGGACGCATCTTCAACGAGCAAGTGTCTGCTTTGCAGCAAGCACTGGACGAAGCTGAAAGAATTCTAAATACACGCATAGTCGCGCCACTACCTAGAGACCTAGACAGCCTTGAACATTTAGTGCTGCAGCACAAGGACTATGAGCAGAGCCTTCGTCGATTGGCACCCGACCTCGACAGGGTTCAACAAACATTCAGAGGCATCACCCTGAAGACCCCCGCCATGAGGAACAAACTGGATGCGGTGACCACCAAGTGGAATCACATCTGGAACGTCAGCAATCTATACGTGGAACGGCTCAAGTGCATTGAAATCTTGTTGTCTAGTCTGGAAGAGAATACCAACATAATCTCCGAGTTTGAGGTGAAGCTAGCCTCGTTTGACGAGCTGCCATCCGACATCAAAGGTCTGCAAAACGTATTGGAGGACCTGAGGATTCTCCAGAACGCGATTTCTCAGCAACAGAGTGCGATGGATCAGCTAAACGAAGACGCGCACAACACCAGGCGTCTTGTAGAAAAGTCGAGGCCCAGCCATCGCGGTCCTCACACGGACATGGACAGGCTGGACGCCGAAGTGAACCGATTGAACGCTAGATGGACGAACGTGTGCAGCCAATTGGTGGACAGAATGCGCAGCGCGGAGGCGGCCTACAGTTTAGCTCAGCAAATGGAGCACGCTTATCGCAACGAAGTCGACTTTGTCGACGAGTCGTACGGTAAACTGGAGGTGGAGAACGCGAAGGTAACGACTAGGGATACACTACGATTATCCTAGAATATTCGAGTCGATTCTTCTACTGACTACCTGGTCGTTGGGTTGTAGAATCTACTGAACAGAGTGGTGGAACGCGCGCCGGCGATCGAGGCGGTAAACGTGACCGGCGGTCGCTTGATCCGCGAGGGAAAGGTGAGATGAGACGCGACGCAGTTCGCGACTGGGTATACTTCGCAAGCCTTAGGCAGGCTTAGCTGGCCTATTAGGTAGCCTTAGGTAGCCTCTTAGCTTACTGTATGAACGCTTGCGTGAATGGGATGTTGCGTGAGTCCATGTTACGTTCCTCTAGATAATTGTATCGCGTTTCCGTACCGCGTCGCGGCTCCTCGAAACGCGTCCTCCTTCTGTACCGTCACGTCCCATTGCCCGTGAAGTCTATCCCCAAACTGCTAGATTCGCGAGGTTACGCAGCGAGGACTGCTGTCACGTCGTCGGCGAAATGGCGTACCCGTTTTGGACTTTGCTGCTCGACTCGACGCGTGAACCGTCCCCGGATCACGCTAGGGAACTGGTGCGCTGCTACTGTTGTCACTGTCGCCGCTATCGCCCACGTTGGACACTCTACCTACCTCGCAGCCATCATCGATAGCAACTCCTTTCTTCGCCGGGTCTTTCCTCCACAATGGGCTTTATCGGCAGGATGATTGCGAGCGACTCGCACGTCCAGGGCACGTGCGATGCTCCAGTAACGTGGTCTAGGCCCTGGCTGGGTCTTGATTATTGTTTCCAGGGAACAAGGATGTATCGCTATTGTTTATTTCCTCTCCGCTTTCCGTCACCGGAACTACATATCGCTTGGACCGCTTGATAACGTAGTCGCTGCACATAGGAGCGAAAACACCAGGCTAACGCTAACGGTTCACCCACCCGCAAACTCTCTGTGATCGGACCGGATCCCTTCGAGCCGTGTACCACTGAACGATCGGCGCGCGACGAACGCTTGTAATCCGCATCTCACTCGCATCAACACTCGGCTACCGTGCACGAGCTCTTTACACTCCTCCCGAGTCGCTTCTAACTGTTCCGCACGTTCTCCTTTTAATGGACACCCGAAGGCACGGATCGCCGATCGTTCTTATTATACACGGAGCCTCTTCGAACACTGTACAGGACGATTCTAGGAGTAAGAATAACTTGTGAACCGCTCAAGGGAAACTCTAACCTTTAACAAGTTGACTGCCACGGTTTCATTGCATAAAAGTAATTCCAATATAATGAAACTAATAAAATAATAGAAATAACTAGACGACAGTATAACGCAAGGAGTGTTATACCTAATAATTAATAATTGCTTCTATTCATCACTACTACCAAAGAATAAGTGACACGCAACACATCACAGATTCTCGTGGCAGTCTGTTAGCATCATCCTGGTCTTGACTAGTTCCTAGAATCTTCCTAGGTGACAAGATGATTCGTCCAGCTTGGCCCTAGGTCTCCGCGGTTCACGTTAACACTCGAGGCGCTTGAACGCTGACACGGTTCGGGATTTCATAGCTTGTCTGGTCCCGGTTCGATTAACCGATGAAGGGAGGCTTGAAGTAGCTAAGTCCGTTCCCCAATGATTATCGTCCTCGGCTGACTTAGGCCGTTCGCTTCCGCACCGTGGGGTGCGCACACCTTAGGGAATTCGCTGTGGGTGTAGACGGGTAGCGACGCACAGGCGATATCTAATACTTATCCTCTAACCGTAACGGGCCTAACCGAAACCCCTAGATCTACGGTCAGAGGCTTCGAGCGTTCAAGGAACAGTTGGAAGATCTATGCCCGTCGCTGGACGCGTCCGTCAAGAAACCACGACGGGAGTACGCGTCGACTACGGACGACGTCGCCAGGGACCTGGACAACCTGAACAGGAAGTACACCACCCTGGTGAACATACTGCAAGACCGGGTCAGCCAGATGGCCGCGCTGCATCCCGAGGACGCTTCTCTGCAGGTGAGTCGTCTTCTTTCGATCCTTCAATTTTTCAAGGTCTAACTGGAGGTTCGTCCAGATCCAAGGTTGAATTGTTCTCGTCTTAAACGAGACAATTACAGAATGGGATGAACTCCGATTTCTCGATCTTCTCGAATTTCAATGCTACGTCGCTCGATTAGCGCGTACATCTATTAACGTTTACTTTCAACAATCCCACGATCATTCTCGACGATCCGAGAACTCGGCTAATCTGAAAATGACTAGACAAACTTGACAATACTGAAAAAGTGATGGCACGATTCGGTCTAAAGATACCCGATGACTGCAACAGGGTTAATAAGCACCAATTAAAGCGAATACCACGGTGTTCCGAGTAAAACATATATAACTTGACGTGTCGGTAAAAGTTACGCAGAAACGGGGAAAGAAACCCATCAGACGTCTACTCGTTATGTAAAATCGGAATGCTCCGGTCGCAAAAAAGGCAAAGAATCTCGGCCGACTGAGCCGTAACGGGTCCCGCAAGGCCGTGGTTGCCTGCAGGCGACGTATCCGTCGCGCGAAATGTTAATTGTTCGCGCGTACGCGAACAAAATTGGCGGTGACACCGCTCGCTGCCGCGCCGTCGTCCTTCCGCCCACTCTTATCGCGCAGTTGACGTTGACGTCCAGCACCGGCGGGGCGCAATATTTTGCATATAAAGGACCACACGAAACAACGTGCATTAGTCCTCGATTCTAAAAATAATCGTGAACTCTTACATTAGTAGTCAATATGCTCGCGTTCGTTTGTCACTTGACTGCCACGTCACCCAAACATGGGCGGGACCATTTTTTATGTCAAGTCAAACATTAATTTCCTTGGTAACGCGACGAACGAATCGAATTTTCTTGGATATACGAAGTACAAGAAAGATACCAGAGTAATCTTTACGAAGAATCTCGAACTTCTCATTCCTGCTTTATTAGGACAACCGTTTCGACATAGAAGCTTCGCTGAACGTTTACTTGGCAGTTTGAATTTGACCTGCGAAAGGGCGAGTTTCGAGTGTAAAGCCTGTAATCGCGCACGAAAAACACGATCTCGAAGTTTCGTTCTTCCCGCCCCGTCGGAATCGATACGCGCCGCGCTGCGAGAGGGAGGCCCTCCTCTCTCTAGCGAAACGGGAAAGAGGAGAGGAGGCGACGGCGCAGAACGCGGCCGGCCGCAGTTCGCAGCTGGCCCCGAGTTAGGCGTGCGTGCTGTTTTTCTTGACGAGAGCCGGTCGGTGTCAAGCGCCGGCCGCGTTTTCCTTACGGTTTCCGGTAATCGTCACGCGCGATGCGCACGGATCCCGGTTTAGTGTCCTCCAGGACCACGTCCGTGATGCCTGAGATCAGGATCGTGCGAAAGGTACGAGGACACCTCGCTGAAACTGGGACGCGACGTCCACGTAGGATTCCGGTGAACAGAATGCTAGAAACTGGCCAGGCACGCATCGATCCTCGCACGTTTCTAGAATTTCTATCTCGACGGCCTCTTTTCGGTTCGTCGACGTTGCAGTGTCTTTATTCTTTCCTTTCCCTTGGCTTTCCGATCGATCGGATGTGCGTACTCTTTTTCCGTTGGACACACGTTGGTGGACAGTACGAGGATACCGTTGAGCATCGCGAAGACCGAAAGCTCTTCTTCCAGTGTCTCTTCCGATGTTTTGGATCCTTTGAGAAATTTCTGGAGCACGTGATACCACGGATAATGTTAAGAAAGATGGCGGAATTGTTGAATCCACTGTGCGACATGTTTCATAATGTTTCTCTTAATTCCTGTGCAACCTCGTTACCAAGTCGAACGTTCCACCAGAAAGAATCTCGATTACCCGATACCACCGAGTATCGAAAGATCTCGAGACTTGAAATAATTCTAGACATTAACATACTATTCTAAATACTCTCGGACTCTAACAACAAAACATTATTCGAATTGTTATCGTCCCAAAGATCCGTCGTTCCACGAACTGTCCCATCTGCTTCTCGGCTCGAGAAACTCGTTGCAACGCCGTTCAAAGTACCCGAAACACAATACATTTGGAAACGTCCCTGTAGTCTATCGGATGCGACTCCAGTGACAAAGTCTCAGTCACCGTCACGTGTACGATCTCGACGGGAGCACGTGCCGGCGCGTTAGTCATCGATTACGCCGTCCTTAATTTTACACCGGCCGTAATTCGTTGCGTACGAGCGGCTTTCACGCGTTCGCCACCGCGGAATTTCTGGTCGTAAAAAGTGTACGGTGCAGCGGCGTCGTCGTCGTCGTCGTCGTCGACGAAGAAAGCGGTCGGCCGCGTTGCTAAAAAAAGAGCCCGGCTATAACGCGTCGGGAATGATTCGTCGCCGACTGGGGAGGCTTCTTGCCAACTCAGTCGTCAGGCAGCGATCGAGCGTCGCGATCCCGCGGGAAACGCTCGGGACCATGCCCGCGAGGCGAACTGGACGCGACTGCTCTGTGATTCTTCGGGACGTCCGGCGTGCGTTAATCCGTTCTGGTTTTGCAATCGTCGAGGACTGATTGGACGGGGCTCGGCGCCGATCGCGCGATGACGCTCGATAACAGGCTCGTGAACGCGGTAATGTCTGCGTGTTGCGGCTTGTTTTCCACGGAATCGATCGTGCCTCGCGATTCCTTATCTTGGTCGGCCGCTGGACTGTATCATAGGTCGGAATAGCTCGTTACGGATTTGTTTTGCAATTGCCGAAGCGATTCCACTATTTCCGTCGGAGTTCGTTCAATGGACTCGTACAGCGGCTCGCGTATCGCGATCAGATTCTTGGCAATGCTCGATGAACTTATTCTAGTAATTTTCTTGAGAAAGTATTACACGCATGAGACATTCATTTTGAGTAGTGTTGGCGCTTTCTCGATAGAGGTGTACTCGCCTCTTGCGTTGGAAAGACGTGTCACGCACGTTGAGATATTTTTATTCCAAAATCGCTCGTGACATCTTATAAGCGGCGATGGTCTAGTTGCATTAGGTGTACTAGGTTGTTTTGAAACATGTCGCTTTATACGAAATGACTAATAAATTTGTGTCAGCGCTATTCTCCTCTGTTCGGTGAAATATCACTGCGATCGAAAACTGTCTTGAACAAATCCTTGAGTGCCGACTATAGAATTCGGAAGGGCTGTTAAATCACCGGTGTCGGATAAAGTGTTAACACTGGTCGCGTGACTCGCCGATTACCGAAAATGTTGCACCGGTAACCGGTGATTAACGGTTGTTCCGCGATGTTGTTATCCGGTACCGTGTTCGGATCCTATTTCGCGGTTCTAATTAGCGGAAAGTTCGGTCCTGTAATTGAGGGTGCAGCCAAGGCCCGCGTTACCTTCCGCGGCCCGTAACGTGCTCAGTCGTAGAAATTCATCGAGGTCGGACGCGTGAAACGCAACACACCTCCGCGGATCCGCTTAACCAAGTTTGGATTCTTTCCCAATTTCTTGCCAACCGTGTCAGCAGCTGAACTCGATCCTTCTAAATGCGGACTCGCGATAATTAGAGCCTCGAGTTTCCCATTATCAGGTGGAAACCGCGGCCTTTCGGAATTTAAGAGTCCGCTCAGAACTTTACGACGCGATCTTTATCGACTTTAATCGTTTTTTTATTGATAGTTGGCGTGTGCGTGATACACGGCAAGATTAGCTCTGTAGTGGAAGATTTTACATTGCGATGAATATGGAATGTGCCTTCCCTGTTTCGTGACACTTATTAACCGATGCGGATCTAAGCGAATAAACCACAAGACAAGGGTTGACAGACGTATTAAATTGTACCGGTATTCCGATAAATTCTCGCATAACACGAACATTTCGACGCTTTAACTAGCGACACGCTTTACTTCGAAACTGGACGACCCATTAAATTCCAGTTCCAACAGAGTCCTAATCCAATCGTTATTACGATTTCAGCGTGCTCTTCAGGAGCAAAGGCCGCTGAGAACGTTCCGCACTGAGTTCAACATCTACGAGAGCAGCAGCTGCGAGGAACGGTACACATCCACGACAACCCACTACACGCAGTCTCAGTAAGTGAACCCAGACACGTATTACGCGATCGAACCCTATATACCAGTACACAACACCGATAACAGCAATATACTTTACAATAAAAGCCCACAAATCTCTTGCAGGTACAGCCTAGAGCGCCACGAAAGGACAGAGCGCACCGAGCGAACCGAGACGATCCTCTCGGACACGGTGCGCCGTTCCAGTTCGCAGGAGGGCTCGCGTCTGGTCCAGGATGGCAGCCCCACAGCGCTGCACTCCGACAGGGATCATCAGGATCTCGAGAAAGAGAAGCTCCAGCACGAGAAACGCGAGGAACGTAGCGAGGAGCGCGACGAGTCGAGTTGGTCGCGTACGAGCAGTGCTAGCGCGGGCAGCAGCGGCGTGCACTTTAGCGAGATTAGGAGCGTAAAGAGGATAGAACGGTCGGAGGAGGGTGTAGGTACCGAGAACGTGATCGAGGCTAGGGGTATCGTAGATCCGAGGACGGGGAACGTGTTGACGGTGGGCGAGGCGATCAGTCTTAGGATCTTGGACGTTAGGAAGGGTAGGATAGTGTGCTCGAGGGACGGCCGTAAGACCGTCACGATCGAGGAGGCGGCGCGCGAGAAGATGATCGACACGCGGCTCGCGGACCGCCTGTTGGGCCCGTGCGGCTTCGACGAGGAGGGACGGCCGGTGTCCTTGCTCGAGGCGATCCAGCGCGAGCTATGCGACGCGGAGAGAACGGACGGCGCCGCCGGGGACAGAGCGAAGGTAACTTACAGTCAGACCGCCACCGTACCGCCCGCGAACCACGCGGTTAGCGTAGCCGATGCGATGATAAGGGACGAACCACGCGGCGACGGTCGCCAGAGGTCTGCGTTGGACCCGCGGACCGGTGAGCTAGTCACCGAGGACGGAGAGAGGCTGTCGGTTGAGGAGGCGCACGCTAGGGGCTACCTGGCCAAGCTCGACGTAGTTGTCACCGTGAAGAGGAACGCGTTACCCCTGTCCGATGCCATTTCCCAGGGTCTGGTTGACGAGACGCTCGGCCGCGTTCTCGACCGCGTCACCGGCGAGAGCTACGCGCTCGACCAGGCCGTGGAGAAGGGGATCCTCGACCCTACCGCGAGAGAGATCGTCGACGCCAGGAACGACACCAAGGTGACGCTTCTGGACGCCATTAAACTCGGCATCGTGAATCCCAAAACTGGAAAGTACATGCACGGCTTGACCATGGAGAAGCTGTCGTTGAAGGAAGCGCGCAGGAGGAAGTTGATCGTTAAGCCTATGACCTTGAAGGACTGCAAGGATTCGGAGATCATCGACGAGAGTGGCAGGATCACCAGTCCCGCGCACAGAACGAAGTTAACCGTTACAGAGGCGATACAGAGGGGAGTGTTGGACGGCGATCGGTTGAACTCGATCGTTGACGCGAGAACGGGCGAGGCTGTTACACTGTCCGAGGCGTTGAATCGCGGATTGATAGACCCTGAAAAGGCTACGTACAGGGACACTAATTCCGAGTCTGAGCTTGCTCTTTCCGAGGCCGTTGAGAAGGGGCTAGTCACTTCTTTGGCGCAAAAGACTATATTCGATATTGACGGATTCAAGGATCCATTGACTGGAGAGTTCGTCAGCCTTAACGCTGCTTTGTTGAAGGGTCTTATCAGCTCTAAAGCTGGCGGTAGCTATATCGTAGACCCCAACACCGGAGAAACAGTTTCGCTAGCTGAAGCTGAGGAACTGGGCTTCGTGCGACCGGAAGTGTCGGAAATGTTGAACAGAGGGATAGGAATCATTGAAGAAGGCAGAGAGATCACTCTCCTAGAGGCTGTATTCTCTGAACTTCTCGATCCCAAGACTGGTCTACTTCTGGATCCGAGAACAAAGAGGCCAGTGTCCCTCGAAAATTCGATAAAACGAGGCCTGATTACGTCCGACGGTGCAGCTTTGCTGACAGGCTTGCTGAACGTGACTGTGACTACCCAAACCGTGACCAAAGTCAAGGAAGTCCATCTAGAAGATGCGGATAAGGAGGACAAGAGACCAGCGAATGAAAAGGGTCGTAGTCCCTCCGTAGATAGGTGGATGGAGGTTGAAGATTCTTATGAAGAATCGAAAAAAGACAATATTCCTAGAGCTATTGGCACCACCACGACCATCATCACCAAGGATAGAGTGATTTCCTCCTCGCAGGTGAAGGGCACTACTGTGATCAACATTAGAGACAATTCAATTGAAAGCGTATCATCCGGTGCAGAGGAGAACTCGTTGAAACCCTCGTGGTCCAGGTCACAGAAGGATGTCGAAGAGGATCGGGAGATGATTACTGATTCTAAAGTGGAGACAGTGTCCAAGGAGGATCATTCTTCAGCAGAGAGAAGAGTATACGAATTACCAACGGACGGGTGGTCTCTATCCGAAGCGATCGAGCGAAAATTATTCGACCCAACTACAGGTCTTTTCATAATACCTGGAACAGACAGGCTAGTGTCATTTGAAGAGTGTGTGAAGCTGCGAATAATAGATCCTAATTCCAGTTTCGTGATCGATTCGAACAATGGCAGAAAAGTGTCCCTATTGAGGAGCCTGGAAAAGAATATCCTGGACTCTACAGGACACTACACGTATCCTGAGAAGATAACCATGAAGGAAGCCATCTCCAAAGGCTTGATAATTTTCGATGACAAACATCCGGATAGCGAAAACTCTCTGCACAGGCTACTAAAAATCACTAAACTCTCCGGCGAGCCTGACAAACTGGAGCTGACAAGACAGGACGACCCGTCGAGGCCGCTGGAGATCAAGATCAACGAAGCTAGTCACGCAATACCTGATCCAGTGAGAGTATCCAAGGGTCTGATCTACGATCCCAGTACTGCGTTAGTCATATCTACGGAAACAGGAAAGTCCAGTGAACTTTTGTCAGCGTTGTCCGAAGGTATGCTGCCATCTGAAGTAGTAATAGTCAAGGACCCAGTTACCGGAAAGGATGTAGGTATAGCTGAGGCTGTACAACGTGGAATAGTGAACGTAGAGACGGCAGAGTACAACGTAGACGATAACAGAAAGATATCGCTACTAGACGCGGCAAAGTTTGGTATAGTGTCCGTTCTCGGCTCGCCGTTGGTACCGGTGACATCCTCGTCTCCCATCACAGAAACATCTCTATCCCAGCAAACAGAAATCGAACGGTTTCTGAGAGAGGAAGCACAGTATGCTGAACAAGAAGAGATAACGGGTAAACCTACCACCTCTGCATCTGTTTCTGAATTCGATTCTGCCTTAGGATCCACGTCCATGATGGATTCTGTCGCTGATTCCTCGCCAACGGCGGCAACCAGCGAAGAGCACTCGGTATCCAGAGCAGAAGGAGAAGCCGATGAAGATTTAAAACCAGGGAAGGCTAGCTTTGAATCGAAATTCAAAGTTACTATTGGTAAGGCAGTAGTGTCCGAGTTGGACGACGAAGCCAAACCGATAGTGCTTCAGAAGATGAGGAAGAGAGTGATGAAGACGAAAGAAGCTTTAGACACAGGTCTGATAGATGCGGAGACAGCGGAAATTCTCGCCGAAAACATGGGAGTAGAGGATGGTATACCAGTCAGCCTGTCGGCAGCCATTAAGAGCAAGAAGATAGATGCCGCGTCGGGGAAGATTGTCGATCCTCAAAGAGGAGACGTGCTGACTATCGGTGAAGCCGTTGAGCGTGGAATCTTGGACCCGGAGAGTGCAGATGTCTTGGTGCCTTTAGCAAAGAGTCTCTCAATTCCAGGTTTGTACAAACAGGGCCTGCTAGACCCTGAAGAAGGCAAGGTAGTCCATCCTGAAACCGGAGCACGGTTAACCCTTAGGGAAGCTATTCTTTGCGAGATCGTCGATCCTCTATCGAAATTAACCTGTTCAGACGGACGCACGGACACTCTGCGTAACGCCATCGACAGTAACTTGGTGGACCCAGAAAGATCGTTGATAAAGACCAGCGAGGGAGGTAGCGTCAGCTTGATGAAAGCTGTCGAGAGCAATGTGTTCGCCGACTCGGAGAAGGGCGAAGAACAAATCCCACCTGCCGGAATGACGTTCACCGTGGCCTTGGAAAGGGGCCTTATAGACGCAAGTGGAAGAGAGATAAAGCACCCCATCACGGACGAACGTTTGCCCCTCGAAGACGCTATTAAAGGTAACTTTATAATGTCCTTGCCTGGTCCGGTTGCCTGTGACAGCATGGAAGTAACGAAGGCCTTGGAAGCTGGTTTGATCGACAGAGAAAAGGGAGTCTTCGTTCACCCTACCACGGGAACCCCCGTGCCAATCCTAGAAGCCATTGAATCAGGTCTGCTAGTAGTGAAACCACCAACTACCACCGCCACTGCGACGATTACTACCAGTGGCATCACCCAAACTGTCACTTCGTACCACACTGTCACCACGAGAACCTTGGGTATTCTATCTGGTTACGAGTTAGTCAACGCTTCCGAAATAAGGAACATTGAGACCGGGGAGAAGATGAGCATAGAAGAAGCCAGACGCAGAGGCATAGTCAAAGATGAGTCGGAGCGGCGGGAGGAGTTCACCACGAAGGATATCAAAATGGCGTTCGACGAAGCGCTTCAGAATGGTCTTCTGGACGTCGCTGCTGGTACTTACACCAACCCTTCGACAGGAGTCGCCATGCCTATTCAACAAGCTATTGAAAATGGTCTCTTGGATGCTCCTTCTGATCAGCCTGACGATGCTAGCAACACTGCGACCGAACAGATTAGTCAAATTTATGATGAAGAAGCGGAGAGATTCGTGGACCCAGACACAAAGAAGCCTTACACGCTTGCCGAAGCGATGGAGGTTGGACTGGTGGATCCTAACACTGTGATTTATGACACTAAGACTGCCGAGGCTGTGACTACCAAAGAAGCAGTTGCTAGAGGAATGATAGATCCTGTGACAGGGAAGACAAAGAGTTCTGAAGGGCTCGGAGGTGTGTCCTTGAAGCAAGCAGCGAAATTGGGATTATTGGCTGTTGTGGCTGCTCCAGTTCTCGCTGGGAAAGCGGTGTACGATGCGGTTCGCGATGCTTCTGCGAGCAAGGATAAGATTAAAGAATCTAGTAAGCAAAGAGAAGGGGTTGGAATTGTATCTCGACCGACTGGAGAACAGAAAGTTTCGTCGGCTACTGAGATACAGAAGAAACCATTGACACCAGAGCAACCAGCCAGACAATTAACGATTAAGGATAAGGAGGAAGCAGAAGAAAAGTCTGCGATAGCGCAAGGCGAAGAAGGAAAAGTGAAAGGATTAAAGCAATCGCCTGAATCAAAAGAATCTGAACAACCTTTCGTGAAGCAGGTTGAATCAAAGGAACCAGAGGAGTCTTTAGTAAAGCAAGTTGAATCAAAAGAACCTGATGAAGCTTCAGCGAAGCCAGTTGAATCAAAAGAACCTATAGAATCCTCGTTGAAGAGACAAGATGAACCTATAGAGTCCTCGTTGAAGAGACAAGATGAACCTATAGAATCCTCGTTGAAGAAACAAGATGAACCTATAGAATCTTCGTTGAAGAGACAGGATGAACCTACAGAATCCTCGTTGAAGAGACAAGATGAACCTATAGAATCCTCGTTGAAGAAACAAGATGAACCTATAGAATCCTCGTTGAAGAAACAAGATGAACCTGTAGAATCCTCGTTGAAGAGACAAGATGAACCTATAGAATCCTCGTTGAAGAGACAAGATGAACCTAAAGAACCCAAAGAATTGTCGGTAGAACAAGTGGAATCAAAGGAACCAGAAGAATCCTTGAAGCAACAATTGGAGCCCGAAGAACCTGAGAAACCACCACTGAAACAGCAAGCTGAATCCAAGGAACTCGAAGAACCATCAACAAAACAACAAATTAAATCCAAAGAACACGAGGAATCGTCAACAAAACAACAAATTCAATCCAAAGAACACGAGGAACCGTCAATGAAGCGAATTGAATCAAAAGAACCCGAAGAGCTATCACCGAGAGAGCTGCCAAAAGAAGAGAAGATGAAAATCCAAGAAAAACAAGCGGAGGAACCTTCAAAGCGGCCAGTGGAAGAAGAAGACAAGTCGCAGACTTCTGTACAAAGAGAAGGGACACTACAAACTCAGGGAGAGATGCCAAGGCAGGAGTCAGAACCTCAGACACAGGAAAAAGAATCACCTGTCCAGGAGAAATCTGCAAAAGCAAGTATTCGACCAGAAAATCTTGAACAAGCCTCGAAACCAGAAGATCCAATCATTAATGAAAAATTACAGAAACGACCGGACGATGTCACAGACACTTCAGAAGAGCCTGAAGAATCAGTCACCGAGAAAGACTACGAGCAAGAGTCCGAATTGGACACTGGGAAAGGAACAAGATTCCTCATTGAAGTTACTCCCAGTTTAACAGCCGCGGACCTTGTTGTTCGAGGAGCTTACGACTTAGAAAAAGAGAAATTCGTGGACCCCGAAACAGGAGACATAGTTCCATTCAACGACTTTGTCATGTACCTAGGAATGCTGGATCCAGATCAAGTCATGGTCAAGGACCTGTCGTGCAAAACCGGGGATAGATTCGTCTCTCTTCGAGAAGCGATTTCCAAGCCCTTAGTAGACAGGAACTTGGGATACATGGTAGACCCTAAGACAGGCAAGAAGATCCCGTTCTTCGAGGCAATAAAACTAGGTCTGATCAAACAAGAACCCCCAGTCGATCAACCACCGATCCTTCTAGCACCGGGACAAGAAGGTTTAACCTTGCGCGAGGCAGTCGAAGAAGGTTTATTAGATCCAGAAACCTGTGAAGTCCGCGATCCAGTTACAAACCGTGTGCTGAAGTTGAACGATGCTATAGACGCAGGTCTGATAGATTGTAGCTCGATCACCCTCAGGGACCCGGTGAACGACGAGGTTCAGTCTCTTCAAGAAATTCTCGAGTCCGGAGGAAAAGTTGACGTGGAAGAAGCATTCGCTAAAGGATTGGTTGCTCCTAAATCTCGGAAACCAATTTCATTGGAAGCTGTTATTAGGAAAGGTCTGTACGACGAGGCTAGCGGAATGATTCTAGACACTCTAACTGGCCAGGCGATAGACGTCGAAGAGAGCGTACGCAGGGGATTGATAGACGCGTTTATCAGTGAATGCGAGGACACTAAAGCAGGTACATTCTTGTCCCTGGAGGAAGCTCTGGGTGAGTCGAAATTATTGGATTCGCGAGCTGGTCGATTACGAGACACCAAGACCGGTGAGTCGCTTCCTTTGAACGTGGCCTTAAAGAGAGGTATCATAGCAACTACTGGATTCGTTCCTTCTCTGATCGATACGATTGTTCAAGAATATTATTGCCCAACTACTGGCCTGGTTGCCAATCCCACTACAGGTGACGAGACTACTTTGAAGGAAGCTCTGATGACCGGTTACGTGGACGGAGAGACTACTGTTGTAAGGGATGACAGAAACGACAGAGTACTGGCCTTGCAAGACGCTGAAGAGGCGCAGTTGATCGACCTCGAGAAAGGAGTCTTAATCTCTCCGCACACTATGACACTAGACGTCGCACACGAAAAAGGATTCATCCTCAGCACGGTGAAACCTTGGTCCCTGCAGGAAGCCCTCGCTCATCAGACCTACGATCCCCAGAAAGGCACTTTCGACATAGACGGCGCTAGTTACACTCTCGAGAAGGCGCTGGAGATTGGCCTGATAGCTAAAGACAGTCCTTCGGTGAAGGATCCGAAGAACAGCGAAATCATCTCCCTTGGCGAAGCCATAAAGCAAGGTCTGATCGACCCTAAGACAGGTACAGCTATCGATCCCTCTACCAGTACACCTTTGTCCCTCACCGATGCTCTGGATAGGGGCTTAATAGTTCCTGCGAAGAGGAAGATCTCTCTCCCAGAAGCAGTGTTCAAGGGTCTCTATGAGCCAACAACTGGTCGTTTCATTGTTCCCGAGACCAGAGAGAAGCTGCCAACCGATAGAGCTATCAAGGCAGGTGTTATAGATCCTAGTACCGCTGTAGTTGTCCGTCAAGCTGATGGCAAGGCGATCACGTTTGACAAAGCCATCAAAGAACTGATCGTCGACCCTAAGACTGGTACAGTGACCAATGCGAAAGGTAAGCGAGTAGATTTCAGAGAAGCGTTGGAGCACGGTTTGCTCTTGGAAGCAAGGAGACCCATGACATTCAGCGAGGCTATATCTAAAGGAATCCTCGACGAACGCACCAACATGTTCCTAGATCCTCAGTCCGGCGTCTACTTAAGTCTACTGGAAGCTATACAAAGGAACTTAATAGACGCTGATTCCGTCACTGTGAAAGATGGAAGGAGCGGCTTCAGAGAGAGGATATCCTTAATGGAAGCTATAAAGACAGGCTACATTGATGGCTCCTCCGGTCAAGTGAACGTCACAGCTGACTCCGACATGTCCTTGCAGGAAGCTTACGAAGCTGGCTTGATTGTAGATCATAGAGCAGCGGTGTCTCTGCAGAGAGCAATCCACCAGGGACTCTACGACGAGCAGACCGGCAAAATCACAGATCCAAGTACTGGAAGGTCGGTCACACTGCACGAAGCAATGAGGAACTGTCTGGTGAGTCCCACGTTACCTTGTTACTGGGACAGGCGAGCGGACAGGTTGCTCTCGCTGGCGGAAACCTGTCGAGCTGGCGTGATCGACAGGAGGTCAGGAATGTTCAAGGAACCAGGTGCCAACAGATCAGTGTCCCTAAGCCTAGCTCTCCAACTGGGTCTGATAGTGGACATCGAGACAACCGAGTTCAGTCTCCACCAGGCGATCACAATGAACATCTACGAACCCACCACTGGCAAGTTCACTCATCCGTCAACGAACAGAAAGCTGACATTGTCGGAAGCTTGCAGGTCCGAGCTGATCGACCCCCTCTCGTCGATCGTCAGAGACGTTCGAACAGAAAAGTACGTACCACTTCCCGACGCTGTCTCTTCAGGGGTAATCGACGACACTCGAGGCACCTACAACGCTCTCCCCGAGGGACCAATCGACCTGAAAGAAGCCCTGAAGAGAGGACACGTGGTGCCCTCGAAGCTTCCCATGAGCATAGAAGAAGCAGTCGCCAGCGACCTTTATCGAGCCCAAACGGGACTCTTCATAGATCCTCGCAGCAACGACACCGTTGATCTGTCCCGCGCTTTCGACGTATTCCTCCTCGATCCCGACACCACCGCTCTCAAGGACGCCACCACTGGCCAGATCACGTCGATCTTAGCTGGCATTGAAAACGGCGCGATAGACGTTCCTCATGGCAAGATACTCGACTCGAAAACGAGACGCGCATACCCTATCGACGTAGCCCTCGAACGCGGGCTTCTGGTCACTCTCGAGAAACCCCTGACGCATCAGCCAGCCCGGCGAAGCCTCACGCGCAAGGACGAGCCCAAACGAGAGTACACAGTCCAAGAAGCAATAGAGAACCGCCTTCTGGACCCCGAGGCTGCCGTAGTCAGAGACCCCAAGACCGGCAGATTCGTGAACATCGACAGTGTCCTCGCTAACGGTGTCCTCGACGCATCTAGCAAAGGATCAATCGACACAGCCTCCCCTAAAACCCCCGATGGCAAGCTCACACCTCGATTCGTACGCTTCGGCGACGTCGAGGTGTTCTTCACGCGGCCCCTGACGTTCGAGGAAGTTCTGGAGACCGGTTTACTGTCCGTGGAAACTGGAAAATTGACCGATCCGAAGACCGGTGAACTGGTGACGCTGAAAGAAGCTGTGGGTCTGGGTATAGTGGACTCCGATTCGGCGCTGATCAAAGACACCAAGAAAAGGAAGCTGGTGAAACTGGCGGAAGCGTTTAGGAAGGGTTTAATGGACGCTGAGAAGGGGAATGTTTTGGAGTCGCAGACCTCCAGGTTGTTCCCATTGGCGAAAGCTTTGGAAGCGGAGCTCCTGATCACCCCGAAACGCGGCCTGTCCTTCATCGAGACCTTGGAGTTCGGGCTTTACGATTCCGCGTCCGGCACATTCGACGATCCGTTCCGTGTCGCGTCGGCCGTAGATCGGGAACCGGTCGCGTTGAGGCAGGCGATCGACGCCGGCTCGATCGATCCGTCCGGCACCGTGATCAAAGAGCCCGGGACCGGTAGGGTCGTTAGTTTGTTAGAGGCTATAAGCACCGGGATAGTAGATCCTGTAGCGGGCAGGCTTTGCGGAGACCCATCGGGAAAGAGGCTTGACTTCGCGAAAGCCCTGGACCAGGGTTATATTCTCACCGCAGAAGCTAGGGTAAGTGGCACTCTTTCTTCTTGCCTCTTCTTCTTCTTCTTCTACTTCTACTTCTTCTTCTTCTTCTATTATTTTTCCTCCCACGTCTTCTATTATTTCCTTCTTTGCACTCCGTCGTACTATGCGACGCTTGCTAGATTGGTGCACATGAAATGTTATACCCGTTGGAGTTTGGTCTTGATGGTTTGCGGTCCTTCTGTGCTGCGTCGCGCGTGATACAGGATTTTTATGGTGCCCTTTCCATTATTCAAGAGTAGAACAATGCGTTCTATCGTTAGACACAAGTTTATTTGTTACGATAATGTTTGGCGCGAGTGTTTTTATCGAGTTATAAGTGGAAGAGAAGATTCGAATGTACATTCGGTAAGACTGAAGATCGAAGATAACGACGGAAAGTAATTAACACGTTGATACGGGGGGTCGAAGCATCGAACAGACCGCAGGCTATCAAGAAAAGTAGTTACCCCATTTTTACATTCCTTATTTTTTACATAGCGACTGGCTTGTTGGATTGAGCTATACGTAGAAGAAAGACATTTTGCGAACGAATTGCTGTTACATTTCATTTAAGAATATTGTTTGATCTATAGATCGGTATCTTAGATAGACATACCTACGTATCAATTGAAACCAAATACTTTTCTTTGACTCATCGTATCCTCTCCCAGTATATAAGACTCTTACAATTTTTCAAGAAATACGTACGAGAATATACAAGAGAAAATCGTACACAAAGAACACCCCCATTTCGTGGGCACCAACCTGTCAAACCCTCTGAGCAT